GAGCCACACTGGTACCAGCTAATGAAGACCTATTCAGGGCAGCCCAGGGCCTTTTATCAGCCCTGAATTAGCTTCGTGCTTTTAATGGGAACTATAGCTTTCTCAATTATTACATAATTAAATAATGTGCCTGCATTTGCCAACGTATTTCTAAAGTGGGATGCAAGTTGCAACTGCCTATCCACCCATAGGGAAGCAGAACATCTCACACAGGCTCTGTTGCTTTTCCAGGTGAGTAACATTTGTTTTGCATCTGTACATGGCCAGGCATAAAATCACATTTTTCAAATGTTGCGTGTGCCACTGTCAGCCCTACAGCACCTCTAGGGTATTTCAGTCTTAAGATGTATTAATGCAAATGTGTAAGTGGCAGCAGGCTGGTATTATTTATGCATACCAATCATTCAAAGGGGGAAAAGTGATTTGTTTTGGTCCAAGTTATTTTAAATATAAGATCATTAATTCCAAGGGTTTCTGGTTTTTTGAAGGTTGCTGTTTCCCAGAAAAAAATTTGCTAAGTGAAAATATAAAGGTGACCACTGCCCAAAGTACCTAGAATTCCAAAGAAACTGGGACCCAGAAGATGAAGAGAGAAAGGGCAAGTAGCCTCTCTTTCTGTTCTCCCAGCCTTTCCCACAAGGTCAGCCTTTCTAGTTGACAAGCCAAATAATTTTAGTTGGTAACTGATAAGAAAGCAAACGAAAAATCATTTGGTTTGAAGAAGTCTTCCAGTATGCTTATGAGTTAGTCTAAAACTTATTCTAAAAAATTTAACACACTATGTATTTCTTTTACTACTTCATGTTTTCTCAATAAGGAATCCCTTAAGATAAAAATTAAAACCACTGGAAAAAATAAAAAGATACCCACCTTAAATGGAGGAGGAGCTTATCATTTTAAAAAGGGATTTTGACAATTTGAAGAAGCAAGCTGAGAGGCAAAACTTTCTTTAAGGATCTCCATTTAATCATTTTCCTAATATGAATCACTTTAATTACTAGGGACACAATTTTTGAAAGAATTCTATAAGTTATACATCACAATGGTGACAAACGTCTCCATTAAAAACCTGATGATGAAAATGAGCACTTGCTAAAAGGTTCCCAGAAGTGCAGGCAAATCAACCAAAACAGCTTTACAACAAACGTCAAATTACACGGACAGTCCTTTTTGCTATCTCTTTCATGACTGCAGTGACGTATACCACTTAACTCACTCCTGTTTACTTAGGAGAAATATATTTCAGTTCTGTTGGGATATACCAGCACACACTTTGTGAGTGTGGACCCACATGAATGCTTGCATTAAAACATCTTTGATGAGAAATAACCTTAAAATGTTTACAGTGATCACATTGCTGATCGTGCTTTTATTCTAAGAGGGTTGTGCTTATGTTGTGGGATGAAGCAGATGAGTATTTATATTGGTGTCTCTAGCTCCTGTGATTGTCAGTGGAGCAGAAAGAAGAACAGATACAAAATAGATGAGGTAAAATAAAAACCTCGTAGCCCTGCATTTGAATTGGAAGTTTCAGTTTGAACTCATAATGCCTTTTACCAACATAATGACTTTAAACAATATATAAGGCATTGTTTATATACTAGCTCTCTCCAATGAAAAGATCAAGAAACAAAGACCAACTCAGTAGCAGTGAGCACCTGTAGTGCCAAGATCATATTCTTATAACTACTGAAAGGATCAACATCCTTTGAAAAAAATGTCTGAATCCAGCTATGCATCAAAATACGTACAAGAATAGCCTGAAACATCCTATAATACCAGGAAGCAGAGAAGAATTTTCTTTACAAGACTTTGTTTTATGAGACTACTAAAGACATGTCAAGAGGACTCAAAAGTCAACTTGAAGAGGTTCCCACAGCTCAAAATAGGACAATCTGAGCATAAACACATAATTTTAATGAATTAAAATACTTTAAACATGTTTAAATATATAAGTCAATATGTAAATATTGAAAATAATAAATTTACTGGCCACTTTTGAAAGATGATAAGAAGCTAATATCTCAAAACTAATAAATAAAGGGAAAGAACTGGTACTATCTTCTATATCATGGTAACTAAACAGTTAATGAGAGTGAGTTTATCTTGTAAAGTGAATCAGCTAATAAATGAAAAAGAAATGATGAAATGTCACCATGTTGCAACCTCTAATGAATTACTGAATCTAGACAATGATCATTAATGACTGCTAAGATAAAAAGAGAGAAAGCTAGACAGTCTTCATCCTGACAGAAGTATCACCTAATAGTCTGGATGATATTTTTAAAAAATTGGACCTGAATCCAATAAATCTTCAATTTAGAGATACCAGTGTAGAAGAGGTATCATGGGGGCGCAATCAGCAAAAATCTCGATTGTGGAAAGCTCCATAGGGCAAATGACTAGGCTTTTTCAATAATAAAGAGAGAAAGAGTGAGAGAAAAGAAGCCATAGGTTAAGAGGAGTATAGGAGATACATCAATTATTTGTAATGTATAGACCTCATGCTAATCCTGATTTGAACAATGTATGGACCTTATGCTAATTTTGATTCAAATTAACTTAAAAATATTAATGAGTTCACTGGGGAAATCTGAAAACAGACTCTATAATGTCATTAAGAAAGTATGCTGATTTTTATGCAGGACAATGGCATTGTGATTACTTTTAAGAATCTTTATCTTTCGGAGATACATGCTGAAATATTTAAGAATGAAATAATATGATGTCCTGCATTTGCTTCAAAATAATCCTTGGGGAGGGAGAAAGTGTGTAGAGGTATAGATGGAAGCAGATTGGCTATGAGTTAATAATTATTCAATCTGAGCTGTGGATATACAGAGGTTCATTACAGCATTAGTCTCTCTACTTTATAAATTTGACATTTTCCTTCATAAAAATTTAAAAAATATTCTTGTTTGAAATTTGGCAATGAGTATTAGGTCACAATAGGAAATCTTTAGACAATGAAATCCACACAGCTAAAGATAGGGTATAGACTTAAACTATAGTGGAGATAGTAGCCCTTGAGGTCATTTTGATCAACCTTTTTCCATCCAACCAGATTTTTACCAAAACTATCCATTCTGTTCACATCTATAACACTAGTATAGTTGTCTTCTTCGGTCCAGTTGCAGTACCCAGTGAAGCACCAGACAGGATTAGGCTCGGTGAAGAAAACAGCAAGAAAGCATCATAAAATCGTTTTGGCTTTTTTCCCCTACTTTTATTTTGGTAACTCTACCAATTGAATGATACCTGCAAATTAATTTTAGCACGTGAGCTTTTTCCCTCTGCACAAACAGCTTTCTTCATCACAGCCGGAAGGAAAAGGAATCTCCAAAGCTACTCTCTCCCAGCACTTGTACAATCCACACGTCTGTGACGACAATATCGTCTCACTGAAAGCTCATGGCAAAAGCCAGTATGATAGAAACACACGGGAACACAACGGCATGCTAAGCTCTTCTCTGATACCCCAAAATGATTCTAAGGCTTATAGCTCTGACTAGGGGATACCCTGAGGGCTAACTATTACTAATGAAAAACCAAGTATACCTAATTAATTGCATTGCTCTGGGCTAGTGAGAGGCCAGGAATTTCCAAATCCACTTGAGAATGGTCATATTTATATAGAATGGTGCTACATGCGAGAATATTTCTTTGAAACATTACCTTCTCCTTTTATCCCTACTGCCCATCTCTTTGGACAGCTTGTGTTACAACAATTCAGATCTAACCACTGGGATTCGTTCTGCTAACAGTAAAGCAGAAGGGGCCAATACCATGGCTATTTCTGTCTTGCATTTCATTAGAAGCTATGCATTTTTGGTGCTCAGAAGTAGAAAACACTAAATTCAACCTACATTATCAATAGAAAAGTTGGTCTAGATAGGATTTTAAAGTAATTACCAGCAATTAAATTATCCCCAGAGACATCAGGAACTCCCCATCCCAAGCACATACCCTAATATACTTAAAAGTTTAAATCTGATAATGATGAAGAATAAAAGATACACATTTTGAGGCAATAAGAATGTTAATATTAGAATTATGGCCAATGATCAATTTATCCATGGTATTACACAAAAAAGCAAAATTCACCAGTAATTCAAAATTTTAGCAATCAGTTTCAATATTTTCCTTCAGCAATTCTTTATTAAGAACTAGATATATGAACTAAGATAGACTGATTTATAATTTCATTTCTCTCTCATATGCTGGTTACCTTTCTAAAGAGGAAGGAAAAATGGCCAGCCACAGAGTTATGTGGGAGATGAGGAGGATGAAGAGGGGGCAGGGGGAGGGCAGGAGTAGGAGCAGGAGAAGAAGGCGGCGAGCAGGCCTGGAGAAAAGGAAGTGGGAAAGGCAGTTTACAGAAAACGATGTAATGGAAAATGTAAATTGGTTTTTAGATAATTGAGTGAATAGTACATATTTCTCATCTCACTTTAAGAATCCACTGTTAATGATTTTAGGTAATGCATGATTTCAGCATGGTATTCTGCCTAACATGTTAAATGCTAAGTTACGGTGTTCAGGATCCTAGGGTCGATTTGCATGCAAGAAGCTATGCAACCTCCCTAGAGAATCAATGGCCTGTTCTTATTGTGGTCTCAGTAAATATTTGCCACAACTTCCAAAGGAGTTTAGGTCCTAAAGTTCCTTAATATTTCTACTTTGAAACAGAAATGTGTAGACTTCTTCCGGCTAAAATCCAATTTAATCAATAGCAAATTGAGCTAAATTAGAACAAACCTAAAAATACCTTGGGAAACATCCAGTGCCTTTTGGAGCCTCGAGCCTATCAAAATGGAGAGAACAGAAGGCAGTGTGGGTGGAATAAATGGGGCCTCGCTGCTGGCTCATCAAGTAATCATAATAGTCAAAAACATGTAACAATCGGGTTGAAAAATAACTCTGTTCATTTGATCGCTGGCAAAAGAACTCAGCAGAGATTTAGCATAAAAGACAGTAAGGCTGCTTCTCAGAGGACTCACCTGTCTTTCCCAGTTTCCTTCTTGAACACTCCGTCACAGTAACTCATGCGCTTCTCTGTGGTCACGTAGATTTGGGCCTTCGGATAGAGGTCCACAGTCTTTTTCAACATGTTGTAAACAATGCCATTGCCGTCTTTCCTCATGTTGCGGAAAGGGCCCCAAATAACGTAAATCGTAGCGTTTGCTTCCTTGAAAAAATAATCAGGGTTTTTCAGCAAAAGAGGAACGCTGGTGTGGGATACAACTCGAATCATCGTCATGCGGCCAACGTCTTCTTCGTAGCCCTTGGTGGGGGCATTGTTCATTCTCCAAATGCAGGAGGATTGATCTATCTCGTTCCCCACCTTCTGGCCAACCATCTGACCTGAGTTTGACACTATCGCACAAAGGTTGCAGTCCAGCTGCAAAGGCTGAAAAATAGAAAGAGAAACAGGGCAGGAGGGAGAAACACGTAAGTTAGTCAATTCCACCTCTTCAAACAAGTTTCTCTGGGAAAACAGAAAATCCCATTGTGCATAATACTGAGTGCAGGAATACCTCTGAAATACGCACACCAGTCCTACAGTAGCTGCCACAGATTATCAAGCTCAGGGCATGCTTCCATTTAAAAAGTGAAGACATTGCTGAGAAATAATTTTAATTTCCATCTCCTTGTGTCGATTTAAAATTAAATGAAAAAAATTAGTCATTTTGTCCCCCACTCTAAATGATGACTTTTCATTCAAAACCATAACTTCAAATGAAGGAAATATGCAAAGATCTGATCTTTTTGATAAGGATGGTGATGAAGAAGGAGGAGGAGAAGAAGATATCCAGCCATCAATTCTGTATTTTACTTATATGTATGAATGGTTATGTAGCAATTGACAAAGAGGTGAAAAATTTAGCAAATGATGAAATTCTAAAAAAAGGTTTTCAGAGCCAAGAACTATGTAAGACAAGTTTCAGACGACCAAAACTATTACAGAGACCCTTAAAAAATTCCCTTTCATCACCATGTTGACTGGTCTTTGTGGTTTTGTTTATTCTAGATCGATAAGGGAAGGCTTCTTTTAAGAACTCAGGGAAGGCATGCACAGAGATGGTCTCTAGAGCTGGTGTAACCACCATCCTCCTTTTTTTTAACCAGTGGCATAACAGAGACTCATAGAGATTAAACATCAGTTTTCAGGATTTGCAGATGATAAAGGTGCAGTGGTAGATCCAAACCTAGATGGAACTAACTTTAAACCCACTGCTCTTTCCGTTATTCCCCATGTGCTTTCCTCCCTAGCAAACCAAATACAGTCCACCCTACGTGGATGGAAATACCACACCATCCAGGTTGGTTGAATCCGCGGATACAGAACCCTAGGATATGGAGGACCAACTGCAAGGGAAGAGCATCTGCGGGTTTTGGCATCTGCGGGGGTTGTGGAACCAATCTCCTGTGGATGTGGAGGAATGACTGTAAATTCCTTTTACCACTTCCCTCCCACATAAAGAAAAATCAACCTGTTAAAATAGTGATAAAAGAGCTATGTGCTTTGTTCATAGCTTTGTTTATAATCTTTCTTATTTCCCTCCTATGAGATTCCACATTTTATATTTGACATTTGATCCTGGATTTTTTGGTGCCTATTGGTCAGTCGCCCCTTCCACACTGGGCATTGGTTGTGTTGCCCTTTAATTTATTGTTTAATTATGTCCGTCCACTACACAGTAAACTCTGTAAGAGCAGAGTCAATGTCTGCTTCATCATTTTAACACCACTCCCCAGAAGTCCCTGGAATACTACAGTAGCTCAACATATAGTGGTTAAGTTAGGAAATGAAAGCCATTTAATTAAAATAACTTTTAGGCCCCTGAACACTGAACTTAATATTAGGGAGAAATGGACTTTTCCAATTCATCTAGAATTGCTGATTTAGTTGAAAAGAGAAAAGCAATCAGGAAGAAACATCAAAATACCAACAGGTTCAATCTATGTGGCTGAACTGAGTGACAGAGAGCCTCAGAAAAGTCACCAAGATAGTTATCACACAACTGTGGCAAATCATCTTTCCTACCAATGGTAGGGACCCACCGTAGTTACTGAGCAGCTACTATGTGTCAGGCACTGTTCATAGAGTTGGGGATTTGGCTGTGAAAATTTTAAACAAATATCCCTGTCCTTATATGTTACATTCTAGCAGGCAGGGGGGCAATAGACAAATCTGCATAGTACATAATATGTGAGTGCTAAATAGGAAGAATTCAAGCAGGGAAGGAGGTGAGGATGCCTGTGTGTGACTATATGTGTAATGGTGGAGTGATTACAAAAAGTCTCAGGAAAAATATTTGAGGAAAGACTTGAATGAAGTGAGAGAACTTAAATGAAGTGAGTGAACTGTGAGAAGAGGCCACGGCCACAATCTCACCAAGAGACGATGGCAGCTTGGACCAGGTCAGGTAGCAGAGGAGGTGGCAAGATGCTGGTCACGTGCTGGGTATATTCTGAAGGTAGGACCTGCTGAGTTGATCAGCAGATAGAAGGTGGGGTCTGAGAGAAAGAGAGGACTTGAGGATAAGGTCAGATTTTTAGCCTAAGCAATTGGAAGGCTGGAGCTGCCTTCAACTGAGAAGGAGGCTTCAGGTGGAATAGAACCAGGAGAGGAAGACAGGAGTTCATTTACAGACCTGTTAGCTTTGAGATGCCTTGAACACAGACTCCTGCAGCAATGTCATAACAACACTACTTGAGGTGCTTTAAATTTTTTTTCTTGATTATTAAAGTAATATAGGCCTGTTGTGGAAAACTTGAAAAACACAAAAAAGAACTAAAATTCTCCATTTTTCCACCACTCAACAACTGCTACAATATTTCACAGTACTTCCTTCCTTCTAGACGCGTTGAGAAATATCATTTGTACCATTTGGTAACCTTGGCTTTTCATTTAATTTGACACCATTAAAATCGTCCTTAGAGATACTTTTAATATCTGCACAATATTTCACTATATGGATGTACCATAATGTACCTATCTGAATATTGCTGGGCATATGAATTTTTTCAATTATGAAAAATGGCTTTAATGAACGTCCTTGTGTTTCCCATTGTATTTTGGATGCTAACAGACATTACATTAATTTAACTTTACTTTGATTTAGTTTTTATTGTACACTATAAATTATGCTAGATTGACAAAGGTATCTGTTTACTTGAGATGTCAAAATTAACAATTTTGAAAAACTTAAACAGTCCACAATGGTCCATCTGTGAAGTGTCTTAAAACTCTGCTATGAAAGGGACTGTCCATCACTCCTGCTATAGTAAGATTTCTGAGCTAAGGGAGACAACAAGGTGATCCAGGCACCAGGTTAGAATAGGTGCTCTCAAGGTGGGTGAGTACGTTAGGGCACTTGGGGCTGAGGTTTTGTAGGTTGGTGCCATAGTGAATACTTCACCAATAGGCAAACCGAGGCACAAGAGGATGCCCATTAGAAAGGGGCATTGATCTAAGACCCTTCCTCATGCATCTAGAAGCCTATGATCTTTGGTGATGCTAAGGAAGAACACAATACTCTTCCTGCCAGGCAATTTGCAGCAGGGCCTGACATCCATCACACTTAGCTGAGTCCTCCAAACTCAGAGTCATGCAAATCAATGCCTGATTTAAATTTTGTGTCACAGGGCACACTCCAACTTATCACCAAGATGCATGTGGTTCAGGGAGGTTAGGTTCCATTTACTGTCCCAAGAACTTGCTTCACTGAATAATGAAAACATTTTGGGGTGATGGCCTCCACAAATTAAAAAAAAAAAGAACAAAAAGAAAAAAAGAAAGATATGAAGAAAAAGCCTTGAATGTGTTCTGCTCTGCATGTAGCAATTTACATTGGATTTCTGAGTCGTCGAAGTGAATTAGCTGGCTCTGCTGTAACAAGGCTTAATTTAACTAATAAGAATAAGCATACTGGTTTCACTTGACAATTGTAATCTCTGAAAGTGATCAATTAAGACATCACAATCTGTTTCATGACAACGTATCAGGATGCCAGCTGTGCAGATTATGAGGTCAGCAGCTGACTAACAACTTGAGGGCAAACATTGGGAACAATAGCCTCTTGTTTATGTAACGAATAAGGAATTGGGCAGAGTGCTATGAATGTAATGGCTTTGGGGGTAGGTGATCTTTAAATTGCCCCTTTCTTTTATACTATTCACTTGGCCAGATTGTCACCATGGCCAGGGTTGTAAGAAACTCCCACATGTTATACTGCGTGGTCTCAGTCCTGCCTCGCTGCTTGGCTTCCTGAGTGAGGTACCAGGAGACGTGGCTGCACAGGGTGACTGCTCTGTTTACCGCTTGGTTGCAAGAAATATCTTTACAGTATGACAGGAGTGCAGGGCTAGATGAATGGAACATTCCTAATCATAATCAGAAGCTTCAGGTAACGCAAAGAGCTTGCGAAAGCCTCAGGGACTCATTTGTACGTTTGAAGGCACCTTCAAACTACAGGAAGCCATAATAAAAAGAAAGATGTACCTGGGCACAGATAGATGGTTTGACCCAAGAGCTGCTCTTATCTGGTTATCTCAGTTCCTTTTATTAGCTTTATCGCTGCATCTTGTGATCTCGACTTTCTTTGTTAAAATGTCCTGCTGTTTCTTGAGCTCGTTTATGTTATTTGATTTGGGGCCCTTGCTTGAAAATTTATTCCATATGTGTCCACGCACTCAGTTCGGCCTCAGTGAGCAGTTTCTTTTTAGATTGAGGCCCTGGATTTTCCGAGACCGTTGGAAAGATTTATCTGGCTCCACTTTATCAAGCCCTATCTTAATTTTGAATTCTCCTTTTCAGTTGACTTGTCCCTATTTTCCTTTTTCTCTCTATTAAAAACAAACTTGACCTTTTTGTCTTTTCCTCTTGTACACGCAAAACATCATCAAGCCAAATGCTTTGCTTGGGCTTGGGCTGTGTCTATAAACTGAGATCACCACAAACGTTCAGCCGACCCTGTCTGGGAAAGCGTTTCCCCATCAAGAGAAAGCTCACAAATGTCAAACACCTCCTTTTATCTGAAGTCTAAGATACTGATTTTTTTTCAATGGTAACATCATTATACAGGCATACCTTGTTTTACTGGGCTTCGTTTTATTGTGCTTCACAGATACTACTTTTTTTAACAAATTGAAGGTTTGCATCAACCCGCACTGTCAGATGATGGTTAGCGTTTTTTAGCAATACAGTATTTTTAAGTTAAGGTATATACTTTTTTTAGACATAACGCTATTTCACACTTAATAGACTACAGTATAGCATAAACATAACTTAAATGTACTGGGAAACCAAAAAAATTTGTGTGTCCTGCTTTACTGCGATATTCACTTTACTGAAATGATCTGGAACTGAAACTGCAGTATCTCCAAGATTTGCCTTATTTGATT